AGGGCATAAAAAATGGACTGGAACGCAGCCCTAGAAGAGAAACGTCCTGCACTTCCTGTGGAAGTGATGCGACCTTCTGTCTCACAGCAGCGTCACCGGACGCAGCGTTCTCTAGATCCTGCAGCGCCTTCACCAGCTCCTCTGTCTGTGGATCATGCCAGTCACACACCATCTTTCTTATAAATCAGATTAGATTATAAAATCTGATTGGATGAACTTAATTCACAATGGTTGTAAAATGGCACTATTCAATGTAAACCATAACTGAAATGAGAATCCAAAGTTAGAATCACTTTTCTTTGAGTAAATGCCATTTTTAATAAGTTAGAACGTGAACGTGTTGGAGCTGATTTCCTCATGTATTAGTCAGCTGCGCTCTGCCGTTGGGCTTTTTGAGGGCTGTGGCAGTGGATAAATTGATTGCAGTCAGGCTATAAACTAAGTTAAAATAATTCATAAATAGGCTAGATGAGGCAGACTGGAATGATGCCTGTTTTGAAGCACAAACAGAGACAATAAATTCAAGGTTCAAATGACTCCAGTATAAATGGTTAATGAGAACCCATAATTAAACTTTATCATATGTCTGTTAACATCTCAGATGTGTGCTCTCTAAATATCTGGATGATAAAGGTAGCCTACATTATATCATTGCCTTTGGAATGTACAAAAATACAAAACTTTTGGAAATAGGTTATCAAATTTATGTTGGACATGTTCAATACTAAGATTCCTTTGAATGTTAAACCATTATTAGTAGGCTATATATCCACTAGACGTTAGGGGGTCTGCTAAAACTCAATGGGCTCAGGGGAGGCAAGAGAGATGCGGAGTTGCGGACTGTAACTTTACCTGCTGCAACTCGCATAAAAACCTCTTTTTACTTAAGCAGATATGGGTGTTGCATGGCATAAAATATTTTTAATACGACTGACTTTGCATTTAATGTGAATTTAATAAAACATTGTAAGTTACTAATTATAATTATAACACTTTTCTTGTACAGAAAGGGAGCAAAGTAGGCTACATTTACATCAAGGAACAACATTCTAGCCAGAGTTCAAGCACTCTCAAAACACTCACTTTGGTGTTTCTGATAAGAGAATTCCTAGAGAGCAGAGTTCAGTCAGCGAGCCAGTTAACAAAACACCGGAATTTCAGCAACGACTCATCTGAACGCCTCTGATTGTTCATTGCGTTCATAAGCTCACCAGAATCGTGTGTGATTGGTTGTAATGCACAGCGCTGTAAAAACGCTCTGGCTCAGCGCCAGCCAGTGAATGTAAATTTGAATTTAGCAGCTTGTGACGTGACGCACTGAACGTTCTAATCATGCCGGTGTGATTCTATCAAATATATTTAAAAAAATATTATTTGGCAATTTTTTCGTCTTTTGGAAGCTGCATTCAAAACTGCAATGTCCGAACTGTCCTGAGCGCGTTCTCAACAGCCGGCGCGTGACGCGTCTTCTTGCTTTAAGGCGAATCACAGACTTATAAGTGCATTACTGCCACCTATCTCTCAAATGGACCATTGACACTATCTACAATCTCAATTAGGAGTTTTCAATGGTCCACTTCAGAGATAGGTGGTGGTAATGCACTTATAAGTCTGCGATCCGCCGTAAAGCAAGAAGAAGAAGACGCTGCCAGCTGTTGAGAATGCGCTCAGGAAAGTTCGGACATTGTGGTAAAAGCTATATAAATATGGTTCAGTTTCTTCCACAGACCGATCGTTTTGTGTCTTTACACATCAATGTATCACCACGAGCCGCAGGGTTTAATTTGGTTTTGTTTGTGTGTTTTTTTGACTCTCAAAGCCGTGATTCCCATTCACTTACATTATATGACTGACAGACTGCAATGGTTCGAGTTAAAAATCTTTGTTTGTGTTCTACTGAAGAAACAAAGTCACCTACATCTTGGATGTCCTGGGTAAAAAACGATATAAATACTGTTCAGTTTCTTGCACAGACCGATCGTTTCATGTCTTTACACATCAATGTTTCGTCACGAGCCACAGGGTTTCATTTGGTTTTGTTTGTGTATGTTTTTTTGACTCTCAAAGCCGTGATTCCCATTCAGTTCCATTATAAGACTGACAGACTGCAACGGTTTGAGTTAAACATCTTTGTTTGTGTTCTACTGAAGAAACAAAGTCACCTACATCTTGGATGTCCTGGGGGTAAGCAGATAAACATCACATTTTCATTTTTGGGTGAACTATCCCTTTAAGGTCTTTTTTGTTTTTCCCTACTTTTGCCTTGTCCAAATACCCACACTTGCGGTCTTGGCCACTTGAGAGTGCGTGCGCGCGACAGGAAGTAAGTGCGCAAGACTGTCCCAGATCTTAAAAACGGCAAAGCGCAGTGCCCTTAACGCACACTAAATCCACACTATCTCAAATACTGCTCTGGAGCGCTATTCGAGGCTTAGTGTATCCCATCATGCATCATGTTCTGGAAATAAATTGTGAGACTTTTTGCCGAGATCTCACGAGAGGTCACGGAAACCTTTCCGATGCAAGTTAAATACTAATATAATAATTAGAGATTACATATAATTTGGTAGAAAAAAACAGTGTTTTTACGTTCTATTGGTGCAAAGATGAGTAGTGGTGATATTTATTTTGTACAACATTTGCAACTGCTTTTTATCACTTAATTAGAAGCACCACAAATTAAAATTATGTCATGTTATAGGGACTACTGAACAGACATTTAGAAGTTGATTTTAAAATGCAAAGTATTTAAAATTAAAATAAAGCTTTGTAAACACTTGCATTTTTACAACACTATAAGTGTGTCTCATCAGGTAATGAAAAGTTCGACACAGACTTGTGGTCTTCATCCTCACTTGAACACTTGGGCCAAATACAGGAAATACGTCATAGAAGTGTTCAAGTGGTCAAGTGCTAAGACCGCACGTGTGGGCATTTGGACAAGGCAACTGTTTCATCCAATGTCCAGGTGTGCCACAGTAATGACATCTGCCCTCCCTCTTAGGACATTTAGGTTTCTGTCAGTTCTCTGTGTTTACCTTACCTTTCTATGACCTCAGTGCCTCTTAAATGCCTGAGTGTCTTCAAGTGCAACGTTCACGATAACCGGGAACACAGGAGTGGCATCCATGATGGCTGGAGACTCTGGCGTGGCGGCCATCTTGTGAAGGGACTCTGGAGGAGTTCTGGAAAAGCCTTCTCAGGAGCAGCTTCTGGAACTACTTCCTCTGGGGCAGGTTCTGAATGAGCTGGTATTACCCAATATCCATACTCCAAAATTATTCAAAACTGCTGGATCTTGAAATGGCTGCAGTATTCTGTCATGAGATGCTCTTGCGGCAATATTGAAGATCCAATCGCAGCTTTATTGTAGTCCCAAAACAGTAATCCACATCAAGGCAAAAACCAGAAAAACATGCACAAGGTAATCCACAAACATAGAACCCGCAAACGCGAAGTACCATGAGCACAAGGTAACAGAACTCAATACGGCAGAAACCAAAGACAGACCACAGCGTATAAATATAGGTGAGCTGAGTATCTCAATCACACACAGCTGAGAGTAATGGACCAATAATCAGAGCAAGGGATGATGAGAACTGAAGTCCACAAGCACTGGGCAATGATCTGGGAGGTGTGCCCTCTGGTGGCTGTCATGAGGACTCCAGCAGACGACCGTGACTGAAGCTGCTTGACACAACTTTGCAGTGTACTCACTTACAGTTTCATTCAGTATATGCTCAGATAATGTTCTGTAAAACTCATCTTTTACTAATTTCATCTTTACTGGCATGCTGAAATTCAGAATGATTCACAGCAGTTTCAAAATCATTGAGTTCTGACTCTGTCAAGATATGTGTGCTGGGTGACTTAAAGGGATAGTTCACCCAAAAATGAAAATTTTATGTTTATCTGCTTACCCCCAGGGCATCCAAGATGTAGGTGACTTTATTTCTTCAGTAGAACACAAACGAAGATATTGAACTCAAACCGTTGCAGTCTGTCAGTCATATAATGTAAGTGAATGGGAATCACGGCTTTGGGAGTAAAAAAAAAACACTCAAACAAAACCAAATTAAACTCTGCGGCTCGTGACGATACATTGATGTGTAAAGACACAAAACGATCGGTCTGTGCAAGAAACTGAACAGTATTTATATCGTTTTTTACCTCTGATTTTCACCACAATGTCTGAACTGTCTGAACTCAGCGCGTCCTCCTGAGCGCGTTCTCGACAGCACACGCGTGAGGCATCTTCTTCTTCTTGCTTTACGGCGGATCGCAGACTTACAAGTGCATTACCGCCACCTATCTCTCAAGTGGACCATTGACACTCCTAATTGAGATTGTAGATAGAGTGTCAATGGTCCATAGGTGGCGGTAATGCACTTATAAGTCTGCGATCCGCCGTAAAAATTGAAATCGCATCATATGACCCCTTTAAGCTATAGGAACATAAAGCTGCATTTTTCCGGACAGCACTCTCCTAAACTCAAAAAAATAAAAATAAATAGTAGCATGTACTGATGGCAAATTCTCCGCAAGTCTTTCTCAGGACCTAGAGTATTGGCTGCTTGTAACTGCATGATGGAGGTTACAGAAGGAACAGTTTCAACCCCTTCTATCCTGATCTGAGCCCTCTGTCTTGCTCCACATACTTCACCTGCTTTCACAGCTTTATTCACCAGTCCTGTGTTGTCCTCGTCTACATAAAGACTGTAAATCAGGATAGCTTTCATCTGACTGCTAGTCTTCTAGATTTATGGTCTATATTAGTTTAAAAAGTGTCAGTCACTAAGATAAAAAGCTGTTAAATAACAGTTCATTGTTGAAAGTTTTTTTGCTGCTATATATAGTTGGTAATGTCTGATCTTGTGGTCAGTGAGCCACTTCCTGATGAAAGTCATAGAAACTGAAAACCTTCAGATGAGTTCGAGCTTCAGTGGCAAGAGAACCGAGAAAATCAACACACTTATAATAATACCTGATCATTGATCAAAATGTCCTTCAGCATGTGGGTTTTCACTGTGCTTTTCATCAGTATGGAGGGTAAGATAAATATTTGAAGTATTTTCTTTTTGCTAGCAGTCTATTGTTTTAGTGGTTGTGGTCACTGGTCAGGTGACTTACTGGAACGTTTTCAACAGTTTGTAGTCAGTTCATCCTATACAAGTCTTGTACTTTTCACAATTTCTCTAACATGACAGTGTTTCTGAAATCTCTCTGAGATCTAGAAACAGTAAGATACTGCTATTGAAAAGACATTTTCTGAAACCTCAACATAGAGATACTTGAGACTACTTAGATGAACATTTGTAAAATGTAAATTTCTTTGTGCTTTTTCAGTTAAACATATAGAGACTTTGTCACTAGTTTGTGAAAAACAGCAGCATAATGTAAATGTACCGTTATAATAGATGCATTACCTATTTGGTTTCCTGACACAGTTTTGTATGTTTCCTTTGTAATATTTTCATTTGAAATATGTAGTCACTGAATGCATTTTGTGCCAAAGCGATGATAAATGACCCACCGTTTAGCCCACATTCATGCTGTTGTGTTCACTAAGTTTTAAAAAAGTGACCTAATTATAAAGAAATTAGCCAGTGATTGTGGAAAAAAAATGGTGAACTGCATAAATGTTTCTACAGATTGTGCATAACACAGTGTACAGAAATATTCAATTATGCAACAATGTTTTCAAAAAAGCATTGTCACAGTAAAAATCATATTACAGATGTCATAGTTTAAACGGTACCTATGAACACAGAATAAATATTACATGTAGAAACAGTACAAGTAATATGGTACATCTAACCAGTTTTAATATTCTTTCAGATCTTGTGAATGGCGATGAGTTAAAGACTGTGATGGAGGGAGATGTTCTCACTCTACAAACAAGAGACACTGAGAGTCTCAGTGAAGTAACATGGCTGTTTAAACGAGGTGATCAAACTGTTCGTATCGCACAGATGTATCAGGGTTATGAACCCTTTTATGAAGAAACACTAACCGGCAGAGTGAAAATGAACCCAAAGACTGGAGCTCTGACCATCTGGAACATCAGCAGCAGCGATTCTGGACTTTATCAAGTTTCTCTCCACAGTGGATCTGTCTCAGAGAAAAGGATCAGAGTGGATGTTTACAGTAAGTTTTACCGGCAGCAGGTTCATAAGAACAGCAAAAATGATCAAAATGGAAAAGAGGTGTAAGTTAATGAGTAAGCATCGGTTTGATAAGATCACTCAACACTCTTAAAAATAAAGGTGCTTAAAAGGTTTTTCACAGCGATGCCATAGAAGAACCATTTTTGGTTCCACAAAGAACCATTCAGTCAAAGATTATTTAAAGGGTTAGTTCACCCAAAAATGAAAATTCTGTCATTAATTACTCGCCCTCATGTCGTTCCAAACCGTAAGGCCTCAGTTCATATGCGCTTCCGCAAGTATTATCACATTTATTTATTTGCTTGTTTGTTTGAATCTCTCAACAGTTTACAACAGTAACCAGGTGGTGAAGACAAGAAAAGGATACAAAATTAGTGTCACTTGCAATCATCACCTGCACTCTCTCACTTGTAGCAGAAAAAGACAAGACCCTCAAATCTGTAAATTTGTACTTTATAAGGCAAGCAGATGGCCAGAATATGAATGAACATGCAAAGTTGCACTTAAGTATGGCAAGCCGTTTTGACTTTTATTCATTCTCAGGATATGAATTATTGATATCAACAATTAAATTTGTACTAGTTAAAATTTTAATTCTTGATATCAGGAATTAAAAATAAAGGTTTTTACTAGTAAGAATTGTATTTCTGATATGTTAAATTGTCATTTCAACTAATAAGAAATTAATTATTGATATCAACAATTGATTTTGAATGGCAGCATATGGTGACATTTAACTAGTGAAAATACAATTACAGATATCAAGAATTATAGTTTTTACTAGTTGAAATCTAATTCCTGATATCAAGAATTAACATTCTAACTAGAGAATTCATATCCTGAGAATGAATAAAAGTCAAAACGGCTTGCCATACTTAAGTGTTTTGCTCCTATACCGCAAAACACTTAAAGTGACATCGCAGATGTATGTGCATGTAACATTGTAATTTTGGCGAGGGGTGGGCACCAGGTAAAAATCATGTTCCGGGCCCTTGAAATAGTCACCACCAGTCACTGGCATACATTGTTGATTTTCCATCTATGTTTTCCATGCAAATTCCCGTTTAAATATGATGCCAATGTGTCTTTTTAAAGGGCCTGTTTCTGTACCTGTCATCAGGTCTCCAGTTGGTGTAAACCAAACTCAAGGTGAGACCCCCACTCTTTTTGATTGTTCATTTAGCAGACCACAACCAGCAGTTCAACATATGGATTTAAGAAGACTCAAAACTCAAAACAAAAAGGTGGATTTAAATAAGCAAACACTTAAGATTTTAGGATTTGTTAGGGTTAAAAGAATTGTTGCAAAACATAACAAAACATGCCAGAAACATATTAATCACAGTGATAATGATCCAGTCTTAGACTCTTCAGTGTTTATCAGTAGTTCAGTATTAAATCCATATGGTAACTTTTTTGGCGAGGCTGTTTATATACACTCGCCCACCTTATTTATACACCACTTAATTTGCATGGGCCCACCAAAAAATGGGGAATAGAAGATTGGAAAAAGTTTGCCTGGTCTGATGAGTCTCAATTTCTGCTGCACCATTCAGATAGTAGGGTCAAAATTATTATATCATCTGCTTCACAATGTTATGACACTGGCTAGAGTGAGGCAGCAAAATAACCTGGAACAGACAACAAAGCTCTTTCTACACGTTCATTTACTGAGGAATGAGCAAAGACCAATATAACAAACTAACATTACACAGCCTCGTCTTAAAATAATAATAAATAAAAAAAAGGAACAAGAAACCACCACCAACAGTTTCCAATGTGAGTAAGATGTTTATAATCATTTATAAGATATCTACAAAGAAAAGAAGCTGACAGTAAACTATCAACATTAAAACAAACAAATCAAAGCACAGGCAGGAAAACAATCAAACTACAACATAAAATAATAAACTAAACATAAACAACAAAATGAAACGAAACTCTAATGCGTATTCGTGTTTGTGCTCTGGAGAGCTGCTTGCAGAGAGTTTTTTGCAGTGTTGAGCAGTGTAGCCAATCACGGACATATCTGTTGATTTCTTGAACTTCTTGATATGAAGAAAAAAGGTTCTCTCAAACGGTTCAGAATTAACCTGACACAACAGATGTCCACTAGGTTCATCAAAGCAGCCACAGAAGATGGAGAAGTTCTGCTCTGTGTTGTGTTCTGTGAAAAATGATCGAGGCGTGTTTATCTCGTGGTATAAACGAGGTGAAATGTTGAACCAGACCAGCAATCCTGATCTCAACATCAACCTCAGTTTAGCTTCATTATAATGATCCAGAGATCTACAGCTGCACGGCTGTGAATCCAGTGAGTAATAAAACTGTCCATCAGTGTAAACCGATTAATAATTATATTATCACATGAAAGAGATCTGCCCACGACATGAAGGTATGAGAAATCAAACTACATTTAAAACAGAACTCTCTTCCTGTTGTAATGACCTCTGTGCTGTGTCTTCACAGACAAAGACATTCAATCACATGTTTATGAACAACTCTCTTCTCTTTCAGATTGTCTGGATCATTGCAGCATCACTGAGGCTCTGGTTCGTCTGGTTCTGTCTGGTCTGCTGGGAATCACCACTGTTGTATTTCTGGTTGAGCATCTGAGGTTCTGCTCATCTCAGAGAAGAGCTGCTGCTTCTGTATGATGGTGACTTGCATGAGATGTCTCAATGGTCTTTAAATGGAATCCTCAGCCCTTGTTGTCTTGTGAGTCCACACAATGTCTTGTATTTGTATTTTCGTCATCATGCCTTTTAGGCTCCATGGTTCAGGTCCTTTTTTGAACGCTGATTGTTATTGTCCACTGAACACTTTGTCACATCCACCATCTCTAAGGATTCATCTGTGGTTGGTTTACTTGCTGATTGTAGGGGGAAAAGATTTTCAGGGCTATTAAGTTCAAAGATATGGATATAAAACAATGTATTTACTTCTATAGCCACTTTTTGTAATATACTTAATTTAGTCATCTATGACAATAATAATTATGTAAAGTATTTCTCAGCAAATATTGAAGTGGTTTAACTTATGCGTTTGAATAATAATCAGTATATTTTGTTATTAAATTAATTTACATTTTGAAATGATAAAAAAATACATTAAAATGCAATGCATACAGACAATGGCACGAGTACCTGCAAAAATTATATTATGCCAAACTATGTAATATTATTTCTTAAAAGAAAATTTCTTTGGTTTTCTCAAAGTGCAGGTCCCGTATGACTTAAGTTTCTTTAAAATATCTGATAATTTGACAAATCGAGATTAGTGAAGGTTGTAAAATGTCAAAACCCTAAAAAAACATAATATTTGTCATGATACAAAACCCAGAGTCCTCTACTGGACTGACCTCCACTGCTGGTTGAGCTGAGAGAAATCATCTCCTCAGGATCCCCTGTGCTATTTTGCTTCTTCTGTAGAGAGAAGAGAACGTTAAATCACAAACCATTGCACATAAAGGGTTTTCATACCAAAATATCATATAAACCAAAAAAAAAAAAAAACACAGAACAGGCTTCTTAAACCAATCAACGTTAATAATTAATATATGTACATAATGAATGAAATCTACTATGACTTCAAATGAAATCTTTTCTGAGCAAAATATCTCAAGGAAACTTATATGTCTTTCACAAATACTTCTACAAGTTCCCCAAAAACAAAACTGCATCTTAAACATTGCATAGCCTTAACACTGCTGTTAATAAGTGTTACAATATTAATACAAAAACAGAAGTGTTGTCTAATTTTCCTGTGATGATAATACTTGCCTTTTGGCAGTTGATGATGCAGTTGATGACACAAATGATAACCAAAATCACAAATGCAGTCAACAATGCGATGCCCACTGCGATTATGTACAAATATTCTGGGCTGATTGTCCAGTGAGTCTCTTTGGCTTTGTTAGGAAAGTCTTCAGGAGTTTCCAGTGATCCTACAGACAATAAAGCAGATAGGACAAATGAATTAATATTTGGAGATTCTGGGCTAATGGTACTGAGCAGTTGCTCTGTACAGAACAAAACCTACAAAAACAACTAGAGATACAAAGTTCATGAATACAAACTTTGAATCTCATAATGTATTAGTAGTGTTGAAAAAACCAGCATATGCTGGTTAGGTATGTTTTGACGCTGGGATGCTGGTTTAAGCTGGTCCTATGCTGGTCCTTTGCTGGTTTATGCTGGTCCTTTGCTGGTTTATGCTGGTCCTTTGCTGGTTTATGCTGGTCCTTTGCTGGTTTATGCTGGTCCTTTGCTGGTTTATGCTGGTCCTTTGCTGGTTTATGCTGGTCCTTTGCTGGTTTATGCTGGTCCTTTGCTGGTTTATGCTGGTCCTTTGCTGGTTTATGCTGGTCCTTTGCTGGTTTATGCTGGTCCTTTGCTGGTTTATGCTGGTCCTTTGCTGGTTTATGCTGGTTTATGCTTGGTTTATGCTGGTCCTTTGCTGGTTTATGCTGGTTTATACTGGTCCTTTGCTGGTTTATGCTGGTCCTTTGCTGGTTTATGCTGGTTTATGCTTGGTTTATGCTGGTCCTTTGCTGGTTTATGCTGGTTTATACTGGTCCTTTGCTGGTTTATACTGGTCCTTTGCTGGTTTATGCTGGTCCTTTGCTGGTTTATGCTGGTCCTTTGCTGGTTTATGCTGGTCCTTTGCTGGTTTATGCTGGTCCTTTGCTGGTTTATGCTGGTCCTTTGCTGGTTTATGCTGGTCCTTTGCTGGTTTATGCTGGTCCTTTGCTGGTTTATGCTGGTCCTTTGCTGGTTTATGCTGGTCCTTTGCTGGTTTATGCTGGTCCTTTGCTGGTTTATGCTGGTCCTTTGCTGGTTTATGCTGGTCCTTTGCTGGTTTATGCTGGTCCTTTGCTGGTTTATGCTGGTCCTTTGCTGGTTTATGCTGGTCCTTTGCTGGTTTATGCTGGTCCTTTGCTGGTTTATGCTGGTCCTTTGCTGGTTTATGCTGGTCCTTTGCTGGTTTATGCTGGTCCTTTGCTGGTTTATGCTGGTCCTTTGCTGGTTTATGCTGGTCCTTTGCTGGTTTATGCTGGTCCTTTGCTGGTTTATGCTGGTCCTTTGCTGGTTTATGCTGGTCCTTTGCTGGTTTATGCTGGTCCTTTGCCAGCACATGACCAGCATAAACCAGCAAAAGGACCAGCATAAACCAGCATCAAAACATACCTAACCAGCATATGCTGTTTTTTTCAACAGGGGGATCTTGTGATGGGCCTCCAGTTTCACTCTGTAACTGGCTCTAGTTTAGAGGGTTTCATGTGTTTAATCATTTATTCATTTGTATTCATTATATTTCTATTCTATTCTGTTATAATGCTGTCTTAAAATTATAACCAAGTTTGCCCATATTTATATTTAGAAGTTTGGTGAACTCTGACACAGTTCAAAGATTAAACAACATTCATTAAAATTGTATTTATTCTGTGAACTCTTCAAAAATTGGGTTATAGACTGCAAGGTCTTTCAAAAACTTGGAAAAGAATCAAAGTATTTTTTAATGTTAATTGTTAAATTATGCCACATTCACGTTCCAGCAGTAGCCTACTAACCAAATTAGGTTCAGTATCGTATCAGTACTTTTTTTTTTTTTTAACAACATTGTAGATTTTATAGAAACTAACCGTGGACCGTGACGTCGAAGAACCTCTCCTTCAAGATGTTAGCGACGTCGAAATACGAGACAACGTAACATCCCTCATCACTGACTCTGGCATCAACGAAGATTATGGACAAACTCTCCGTGTCAAACCTGACTGAGAATCTGTCGGATTTCTTGGCGGGGCAGCCATTCTTCTCCTCTCCGGGGGAACAGTAGCGGATAATGGGATCTCCTGTCCTGTCTTCGCAGTTTTTTCGTAACGTTAAAGTCACTCGCCTCACATTCCCAGGTGTTTCGACGCGTAGGGTGACGCTTTTTCCACTTTTTACCTCCACTCTCTCACTGTCACTCACAGCACCTGATAAAAAAAATAATATTTGTACTTTAAGACACATATTCACACTTTATTTAAGAACAACCAACAGAGATAACTTTGCTTTACTTACCGGCGATGGCAAGACAGGCTATGATGAGCAGGAAGAAGCGATGCATTTTAATAAGTTCTATTCGGCTTGTCCCTTGATTTAATAACAATAATAATAATAAAAAAGCTTCATTAGCGGCTACGTGATCTATCCGGCACTGAATTGGTAAAAGCATGTGTCAAAATAGACACGCACGCCTGGTATTTAAAGGATGGGCGTGACCTGCAGGACCTCTACCAATCGCTAAGCTCGGTTACGCTGTTGTTGTCCGGAGTCTTTAGCGGAAGCGCAAAGCGACGCTTAAAGTCAACCTCACCTTTTGTGTTGTAATTTATTTGATAAACTTCACTTTTTATTAAAAAACTTTTTTTTTTGTCCTCGACGTCTTTTATATGTTTTGTTGTCTTAACGTTTTTATTGACCGCTTACTAAAAACGAGCGGTGGTTTAAAGAGCACTGCCCCGACAGACGCACGCAATCAGCAGATTACAGAACCTCACTTCACATTACACGACAAACGCCGAATCAACCTGTGTGTACATGACCACACAGAAGCGCCGATGAACGCCAGCAGACAAAACTCCACGAACTGTATGTCTGCGTCTATCTGTCTCAACATTCTGTTATTATTGTGTTTACTGTGTACTGTATGCAATTTAAGTCTTAATGAATATTCTGTATTCAGTATGTGCTTTAATGTGGTGGTGGATGTCAACTGCACTAGAGGCACATATCTTAACACACAAGTTAACATGTTCCCCCAGGGTTCCTTTAGCTCTGCTGTACTTTACCAAACACATTCCTCTCTGCCAAACAGATCTGACTCCTCAGTCTCTTGTGCAGGTTGACAGTACACTGCTTTCCCCCCACTCGCATGAATGGACAACTTGCCTATTGACTGTTCATTTCAATAAAGAATCTGCAAACAAAATATTACCAAGAGAATGAGTTTATTCTTTATGCTTCAAAAGATGAATAGCAATCCATGTTGTGCTAAACAGCTCACTGGTACCTGAGCCATTAAACTAAACTGGGTCCAGAAAGTAAAGAAAATTGCCAAATGTCTTCAAAATCTGAAAGACAAAATGGCCACAGAGCACAAGATGGCTTTTCAGCTCAATAGTGTCACTGATTCTAAATCTGTAAACAACGATGACTTTCAAGAAACCTAGAAAAAGCTTCACTTCAGTATTCTCTGTGTTTGATGGTTTGTTTTGGTGGTGATCAACAGCATAAACATAAATATGTTCCACTCATCTGTGAATTAAACATAAGAAATGTTTTGGACAGAGTTTGGCCACTTTATATTTCAGATGCTTCACACAATCTCATTTACATGTGCCTCTGATAATACAACAATCCATTCAAATCAAATCTCAAAGATTCACTTATATCAAAAAACATTTTGTTGTTGAATGTGTTCGGTCATATTTAATGAGAGACACTGTAAACATACAGTGACCATAGAAGAGACTGCGATCACACTGTATTCTTCTCACAAATATCAGCAAATCTGTTGTATTTATCAGCAAAATAATCATTTGAAGAAAAACAGGTCAGGTTTGTAACCAAAATATATCACAGTCTGATGATGGGCATGAGTTTCGTTAATTTCTCTTGATATTATAAACTCGGTCAATAGCAGTGAGGTGTTTAAAACTGAATCCTCATGTTTAGTTTCCTCCAAAAACCAAAATGAAGCAAAATTAAACTCTCAGCAATAAAACTAAAAACCTACAGGTATAAGACAAAGCAAAGGGAGTTGCTTTCCACAGCAAAGTCACATCAAAAGAAAATCTCCACACTGAGTCTGGTTTACTGACGGATCGACTCGCAGGCTTGATCTCCGTGAGGTTTAGCTGACATGAGAACTACTGAAAAACAAACTTGTGAAAGCTGAGCTGGTGACAGCAGATCTTCATCACTCGCTCCATTACTGATGTTACTGTCCGTGAGGAGGAGCCCAGTGTCTGTGAGTCTCAGAGATGTTCAGTCAGTGGAAAACAGATCTCCAGCAGACGGGAGAGGAGCCAGACCGCCGGTGACATTCGGTAGAAGAGAAAGATCTGGAAGACTCTGGATGTGAGACTTCAGCTCCTTCCTCACTTGTGTGACGCGAGCCAGTTTCTGCTTGTATTCCTGCAGGAACACCAGATAATCAATAAATGAATCAGTCCAAAATATTCAAAAGTTTGGGGCCATTCAGATGTTTTTAAATAAATTCATACTATTTTATTCAGTAAAGATGCATTAAATTGATCAAAAGTGACAGTAAACACATTTATAATGTTACAGAAGATTTCTATTTCAAACAAATGATGTTCTTTTGATTGACAAATTCATGCCGACTCTTTTCTCTTTCTATTTATTAAAGAATCATGAAAAATAAAATGCATCACAACTTCCAAAAACACATTAAACTGTTTTTAACATTGATGATATTCAGAAATGTTGTTTGAGCAGCAAATCAGCATATTAGAATGATTTCTGAAGATCATGTGACACTGAAGACTGGAGTAATGATGCTGAAAATTCAGATTTGATCACAGGAATCAACTACACTTTAACATATACTAAAATAGAAATCAGTTATTTGAAATTGTAATAATATTTCACAATGTTACTGTTTTTACTGTATTTCTGATCAAATAATTGCAGCCTTGGTGAGCAGAAGAGACTTCTTTCAAAAACACTAAGTTTGATTTACTCTTCCATGAAACACAAAAGGAAACATTTCACACAAGCTTGTTTTTAAGCTCGAAAATGAAGGAAAAGTACCATAAAAGTATGAAAATTATCCCAAAAGTTGTTCATATGACTTTGTGATATATTCAAAGTCTTGTGAAACCAAGACAGCTTTGTGTGAGGAATTTAAACCTAAATGAACCCAACTCAAGTTGAAACAAAATTACGATTTATCAGTGAATAATGATTTAATTTTGGTCTTTTTGTCAGAAGATTTCCAAAAACTTTGAATGTAGCACGCAAGTAATACGGACTACTTTTATAATACTATTTTGTTGCTTGAAGGTAAAAATCACATCCACTTTTATTGTATTGAAACCATCAGCTCTGATATTCTGCAGAAATTCTCCCAAGGAAGAGAGAAAATCAAACAGGTTTGGAAAGACACGAGAGTAGATGATGATGACAGGATGGTAAACTTGTCTTTTAACACATTTAGGAGTCTCGTACCTCCAGCTTCTTCTCCCTCTCGTTGAGCGCATCTCTCTGGCTCTGGATGTATTCTGTCAGCATTCGGGCCAGCTGTCTCCGGTCCTCTAACTCAGCAGCCAGGCGTCCGTTATACTCCGCCAGCAGCAGACAGGCCTCGTCCACCGTCTTTGACAGCTTATCTGCCGCCTGTTTATCTGCAGAGAATACAGAGTTTCATCAGAAAACCACTTCCTGTTAGACAGAGGTATGCTTCTCCTGTGAGACTCACCTGAGATCTTCTCCAGAAGAGAAACGTCCTGCACTTCCTGTGGAAGTGATGCGATCTTCTGTCTCACAGCAGCGTCACCGGACGCAGCGTTCTCTAGATCCTGCAGCACTTTCACCAGGTCCTCCGTCTGTGGATCATGCCAGTCACACACAATCTTTCTTATAAATCAGTTTAGTTTCTAAAATCTGATTGGATGAACTTGGTAAAATGGCGCTATTCTATGAAACCTTACAAAACAATAACAGAAACAATACCATAATTTTTTACCATAACTGATCTGAAAATCAAGGGTTACAATCACATTTCTTTGAGTAAATGGCCAAACTAAGGGGCTCATGGGAAAAAGTGTACTCTAATATCTAATATAATGTATATATAAAAAGTATAAATACTGGTAGTTGCTTTGAAACGTCAAGCAGTTTTAGCAGTGTCTTGCAATGTGATGTCAAATCAACTGCCCGTGCTTTTTATATAAACATTAAATTACAAACATTAAAATTATATTAATTATTAATGTTAATATATTTTCCCCATGAGTCCCTTAAATGCCATTTATTATTCAAAGAATAGTGGTTCCTACCTTTGATTGTTGATAGTGATTGTTATTATAGAATTTTTATTCAATATCGAGCTTTTAGATTTAAAATTATGTATTTATATTTGTATATTGCTATTTTTAGATATTTTTGCCTTTACTAGTGCATTTTAAATGGTCCTGCAAAGTGAACAATAAAATAAAACAAATAAAAATACAAACATTCCATGTATAGTATAATAATAAAAGAATTAAAATAAAAAAGTTTTACAATTTTCAGATGGAGAACCACATGTAAAGCTGCTTTAGCAGTGCATCTGAAATTGTTTTAAACAATATTTTATTTTAATTCTGTTATTACAGACATTACTTAGACAGACCTTTTGTATTTTTATTTAATAGTTCAATTTATTTTTAACACTGCATTCAAAATGGACTAATAAAATCAATCATCAATATCATATCAAGAATCAGGGTTTAGAATCACATTTCTTTTGAGTAAATGTCATTCGCACCAGTTGTGGAGCAGCTGCGTCTGTCTCCTGGGGAGAATAGTGACCTCTGTAATCATCATCTTCCTCCTCCTCTTCCTCCTGGACCTTCTGGTAGCTTCTCTTCAATTTTTTTCTATCATCTGCTACAAAATAACCTGCAACTTTTACTTCACTTTGCTTTCAAAAAGAGACGATTCAGTTCATGCATTCTACAGGACAGTAAACAAACATGCATTTTGGTGAAAACAATGCCTGATGAAGGTTGCATGACCAAAATGTTGCATTAAAATACGATTTGCAAGCTATAGCAGTGATGAAAACTGAAATAACACAAACTGAAGCATGAATGATGAAAACATATGACATAAATGAAATCTCTCTTATATCTGAGCTTCTTCTTTATCTAGATTGCAGCTCTGGTCACTCTGGACATTCATCTACCAACTTCATCAGGTGCATCTTGGGATGTTTTTAAAAACGTTTACACCGTGTGCATGTATCGCGCTGACCTGCGGGCTTCTGTTTGGGACTGTCTGAGTCCTCTATAGCCAGTTTGAGCTGCTGGATGAAGTCTGCACGGTAGAGGTTCCGCTCCTGCCAGATGTTCAGCAACCTCTCCATGTGCCTCTTAGAACCATCATCTCCGTCTCTGCCAGAGAAAGACACAGAATACATGTGAGACAGGACAGATTCATGCTACTGAACACATAAGCATATGTGAAGGTGCGTTTACCTGGCCACATGTGAGCAGGCATCAACCAGGACGCCCTCAAAGTCTTTGGCGAACTCAGGACCCTTTTTCTTACTGTTCTGAATCACGTCATTAGCTAGATACAGGAACGTCAACTTCCTGCTGCTTTTAGCTGAACAACAAACATTTCATTATTACTAACTTTAGAACAAAAACTTTTTGTGTTTCAGTTTGAATGTTTCAGCCTTTTAGCCATTTTGAAGGTTAACCTTGTTTACACAACCAGCATGCCTTGTGCAAACTAAACTAAACAAGTAAAGTTTGGTCTTACATTCCTTGATTCCCAGATCTGTTTGTTCCCTTTAAAGCAACAGTTCAGCCAAAAAAATAACATTTATTGTGCTCATGCTCAGGCCATCCAAGATGTAGATGAGTTTGTTTCTTCATCAGATTTGGAGAAATGTAGCGTTGCATCACTTGCTCAGCAATGGATCCTCTGCAGTGAATGGGTGCCGTCAGAATGAGAGTCCAAACAGCTGATAAAAACATCACAATAATCCACAAGTAATCCACACATCTCTCCAGTCCATCAGTTAATGTCTTGTGAAGAGAAAAGCTGTGTTTGTAAGAAACAAAGCCATCATTAAAGTGTTTTAACTTCAAACTGTTGCTTCTGGCCAAAATTCAAGTCCATTATCCATAATAACGCTTCCTCCAGTGAAAAAGTCCATCTCTTGTTGTCTCTCACATCAAAATCCAGCCACATATTTGTTCTGAAATGTTTTGGCTTGTAAACAGTTTTTAATCTGTGCAGATTTCTCTCCTGATTGAGACCAGATAGCTTTTTCACTGCAGGAAGTGTTTTTATGGAGTATGGACAAACACTTTAGCTGGAAGCAACGGTTCAACAAATTTAAAAAACATCTTAATGATGGATTTGTTTCTTACAAACACGCAGCTTTCCTCTTCACAAGATGTTAACTGATGGACTGGAGTGATGTGTGGATTACTTGTGGATTATTGTGATGTTTTTATCAGCTGTTTGGACTCTCATTCTGACGGCACCCATTCACTGCAGAGGATCCATTGCTGAGCAAGTGATGCAACGCTACATTTCTCCAAATCTGATGAAGAAACAAACTCATATACATCTTGGATGGCCTGAGGGTGAGTATATTTTCACTATTCCTTCAACTACCATTGTAAACCCAAAGCTGCAGCTGTTAACCGATCACCAGTGTCAACAGCGGTAAAACTCTCTCTTACCTTTCTTCATTTCTCTGTGCCACACACGCACGATGAAGGATGCATGTTTGCGGTGATGAATGATCCACAGAGACAGAGTCTGAACACTCTGCTGCGAGTTACTCAGTTCAGACAGCTTCTTCTCCAGCGCAGACTCGGAGAAAGACGACATGCTGACCGCTCTCTCTCACCAAACCACCCTGAGAAGACACAACAGGTTATAAACAGGTCTGAGTTGCATTTCACTTAAGAAATTTAAAGCTGCTTTCGAACTAAGGGACTCACAGGAAAAAATGGACCCTTATATTTACATTTATATAATATATAAAGTATGGGTAGTTGACTTTTGACTGTTTGATGTGTTATTCTGCATTTAAAACTACTTTCTAAACAATATTTTTTACTATAATTCTTATTATAGTATAGCTTCGACATGGAATATTCGTTTATATGGCATAGTTTTATTTTATTTTTCACAATCCAAGGACATTTAAAAATAAACTACAAATAAAAGGTTTTAAAATAGTGCTAAAATTATACGCATTCTCTCAAACTGCCATAAAATTTAATCCGGAAGCTTGATATTAAATAAAAATGCTACAATAATACATTTAATTTGTCAACTAACCACATACATACACATTATTAAACCACTTTCAAATGCATTTTGCTTATTTTTAAATAATTGTTATGCATATTAGGATTCATGACCTCATTTTCTGTGGTCTACTTGTATTAAGAGAGACCACATGGAATATTTGTTCTTTAGAGACCAATATAGTAAAACAATGTACATATGAATAAAATTTGCACACACACACACACACACACACACACACAAAGTATTTATAACGGTAGTTTGATTGCATATATATAGGCCATGTGATTAACAAAGTAGATATAATAGAAGAGTTTGAACTTAAACTCCATACAGAGTCTGAGTTATTGATTAGCTGAGAAGGTGATTATTTGTAATGCAAAATTTCTGGGACATGCAGCCAACATATTCAAGACAGTAAAAGCTAATTAAGCAGGTTAAAGAAACAAATCAAGCAAACAACTAAAACATAAAAGGTAATGTAAATAAATTCTCACCTGTCAGCAGTTTTTGTAACGTTAGCCTAATCTGGATTTAAATTCAATATGGCACAACGCACGCGGGAAACACTAAATACGAACTACTGCGGATCAAAAGGGTGGTTTAAGTCGAGATATTAATAAATCGAATGAATAAGATATGATCCGTGAGTATATTCCTCGAAACTTTTGCCGAATGTTTGAACACGACGAGATTCTGTTCCAAGTTGGTTGATAAACAAACGAGCGTCGCGTACGTGACGTCACATCGACGCGACGCGACATCATGCTGGATGTGTTTTTTGCAACGCTGTAATATTTACAACATGTCTCGTTTTGAATAATAATACCAGCCATTTTCAAGTCACGTGTGTTCTTTTGTCTTGGAAACCCAGCCTTTGTTTGCTAGCAGGCATAGATGATCTCTCTCTGGACTGAAATTCGTAATTTTATATTTAATGAAATAAAGCAGGAGTTTATTGACATGATTGTTAGCTGCTGACATGACTTAGCTGCACTGAACCACTCAAGAGTAAGTACTATGGGAAATTTTAAGGGGAGGTGCTGTAAGTAAATATTCAATATGCTCGTTCACTCTTCATATGTTAAAATAAAACATGACCATAGAAGAATAGACTTGTATTGTGACTTTACGACTTTTAAATGTGCTTACTGGGCACCATCTTATTAATCATACACAGTAACAAGAGTGATATACACCTCATAGGACATCAAATGTTTTAGTGTGATAAGCAGTTCATAGTCATAGACTCTTTTGTCAATGTTTTTTTGCATGTTTGTTTTAAGATAACATGCTTTATGTATGCTAGTGAAAACAATTATCAGCAATATTATTTAAGAAGTTGGAAAATGAACTGCATCCATTGTGAAATGCATTTACTTGACTATATAATAAAAATGTCACTTCAAGGAATCAGTCATTGAATACTAACAAATGCTGATTAATACTTGTTTAGTTGCCAAAAGTTTCTCTTTGTCATACATTTTTATATTTGTATTTCTCATGTTTGTCTCTCTCATGACGATTTTTTTTTTCCAGAATTGTATTAACATCCTTCACAGATCTTGTGCTCCATACATGAAGAATGGCTGAACATCAGATCGAAGACCCAAAGATTGCATTTGCATATCTCCGCCCATCCTGTGTCCTCCTGACCAAAGAACCTACGGTTGCTAACGTAGAAGCTCTTAGTGGTCATCTCCACAGTGTGAGCGATGGAGCTCTCCAACAGCTCCAGGACTATATTCTGTTTCCCCTCAGATTTGTCCTCAAATCCCCTGGCTCAAAGCGGGAGGGACTCATCCAGGCGGTGATGGAAGCCGTGACGTATGTGCTGGAGAGCACTTGCGTTCAGAGTTGGGATTCTCTACGGGATCTGTTCTCTGAGCTGTGCCTTTGTCTGTGTTCCCCAAAAGACCCGGGAAAACCCGCCACAACCTCTGAGGAACTAAAGCTGGCCGTCCTTAGATGCCTGGACACCCTTATGCACTCTGCCTACGGTGACATTGTTTTTAAACTCTACGAGCCAAGCATGTTGCCTGGACTTGGAGCCGCCGTTTCACTACTTCTGGCATTAGCAGAGCACGAAAAGGCTAGAGGAGTTCAAACGGCTTCCCTTAAATGTCTCCTTTCTTTGTTTCAGCAGTGCGACTGCGTAGAGGAACACATTGAGCCAGGACGGGACGAGAGGTATCTGCTCGGACGCACCTTGGCCACTTTTTTACCTGGGATTTCTCGAGCCCTGAGTCTCGTAATAAGTGGAGATGTAAGACAAGGCCATACAGTTACAGTGAAGGCCATGAGGGTTTGGTACAAAGCAGTAGGTCTGGTAATGGCCGATGAGCAGCTTCAGAAAACAGACAATGATGTGGCAGCTGGAAATCTAGGGCTGGTTGAGAAGCTTGTTGTAAAGAGAAGTCCATCCTGGCGCAAAACCACATCCCAGCGCCTTGCTTTGGTCTTACAGAAGATCATTTCTTGCACATCTGCCCACCCGCACTGGAGAGTCAGACTTGAGTTGGTCAATCTATCCCATTTTCTTCTTTCTCAGTGTAGCCAGTCTGTGGGTGAATGTGTCGGTCTTCTTCTGGAAGCATTGGTAGGTGCTGTCAACGATGAGGAGCCTGAGGTTAAGCACAGGTGCAATGCAGCATTAGATGAGGTGGCACAAATGGGTCAAACCAATGGCAGACAGGACTTTACTGATATTCTATCCGAAAACCTCCACAGCTTGGCATCATCCTTACCTAGACTCATGAGAACATCTGACGACCAACGCAAGCTCTTTGTTCTTAATGTGTTCCTTGGGTACCTCAAGATTCTGGGGCCTAAAGTGGATGCGGTACTTTCTTCAGCAGTACATCTGGAGCGCATCTCCAAAGCATTGATGCAAGTGATGGAGCTGGACGTAACGGATGTGAAGATCATCGAGGAGAGAACTCTGACGTCTTCGACAGACTTGAGACCTGACCTGCACCAAATCCCATCCCAGAGGAAATACTTCCTCTACTTCACAGATGACAAGATATTCTCAGCACTCAGGAAGATCTGCCGCATGTTGGGATACTACGGAAACCTCTACCTTCTTGTTGACCGCTTCATGGAATTTTACAGGGAGTCTTCGGTTTACAGAAAGCAAGCTGCTTTGGTCCTCAACGAGGTCATTGTCGGTGCTGCAGGCATTGGCGTAGAAACGGACACTTCTAGGATTGATTGTTCAGGAACAAACCGGTCTAGAACAAATCAAGAAGACTTGAAATCTTCAGTCATGTCCATCATCGAGGAGTACATCAGTTTGAGTAACTGGCATCTCCCTACAGTCTCAGAAGCCTTGGAAGGGAAACTTGAGTCTACAAACTCCTTGGTGTCCCAATAATCCAGAACGAAACTGTCTGCAGCTGCTTCCAGCATCCAAAACGCCAACGCTCCACCAACTCAACAGCAACATCTGGCAAATCTGTATCCAGTTGGAGTCGAATCAGTTTCCTGTCATGAACTGTAGGAAGTTTGCAGCATCCTGTTGCTGAGTCCACTCTGTTCTCCTGTCATTTAACAAAAGAAAATGGTATTTGAAGGCTCAGGACACATTACACCATAGTGATGCCATTAGGTCTTATAGTCCATTGTTGCTCCATGAACGCCATCCATCTGTTTAGCTTTGTCAACAGAAGAAAATATTTTTTTTTTCATGTTTTTCTGGCATGCAGTGCATTAATATATGACAGTATGCAGCCCAGCCCATCACTAGCTGTAAGATCAATGTCCCTTGAAAATCAACAATTTTCCTGGTTAATTATTAACATTAGTCATGCTCTCATGGTAATGACACTTACTATAAATTGCAAATGGGTCATTGACAATAAGGATGTCTGAGATCTTTAAGTAGTTTACTTGTTCACCCAAAAATGAAAATTCTGTCATTAATTACTCACCCTCATGTCGTTCCAAACCCGCCAAACCCGTGTACATCTTTGGAACACAAATTAAGATATTTGATGAAATCCGAAAGCTTTCTGACCCTGCAGAAACCGCAACATAACTACCACGTTCAAGGCCCAGAAAGGTAGTAAGGACATCATTAAAACAGTCCATGTGACAACAGTTGTTCAATTTTAATTTTATGAAACTACGAGAATTCTTTTTGTAAGCGAAGAAAACAAAAATAACGACTTTTCATCAATTTCTTCTCTTACATGTCAGTCTTCAATGCACATCGACGAGAGTACCATGAGGGTTTACAGGGCTTTATTCTGTTATTTACAGTTTTTTTTTTTATCACCTGACAACAAATACTTCCTGACATGTTCTAGATTCCTTAACCCTACCCCATACCTAAACACAACCTTTACAATGACTACCTTACTTACTATCAAAAAGCAGTAATTAGGAGTTTATTAAGGGAAAGCTCTTAGTTAATAGTTAATGTGTTCCCTAATCTGAAGTGTTACCAAATTACATTTGGGCAAAATGAGTCATGTCACTGACCCAAATATATAACCATGAGGAAATGGATATTTAGTGGTGTAGGTTTGCATATTTCCACCATAATCATTGGATGGGTGAATATTTTAGTCTAAAGTAAACATATCTTTCTCTATTAATAGGTTATACCATAACAGTGTCGTCTTTGTACGTTTACAAGCACAAGTCATGTTTTAAAGGACTAGAAAATGATTTAGGCTACTCACCCATATGTTGTTTTAAACCCGTATTACTTTGTTTCTTCAAAAGGAAACATTTGTAGAGCTTTTTATCCACATGTTTTTACAGCTTACGGAGGCTAGAGCTTTCAAGATTTTTAAAAAAAGATGCAAAGCAACTTAAAAGTACACAATTTTTGTTCTATATTCCAAATCCATGAGTTCAAGTGAGGTATACAATACAGGTTTAGAATAACATGAGGTTGAGTAAATGAAGACAGTTTTCATTTGAGTGAACTATCCGTTTAATATTAACCTATTCCTTCAACATATTTTATAGAAGCAAATAAAGTCAGTGTGATATTAGAACACTTCCAGTGCACTCTTTGGCATGTGACAACTTTTAATATTGCATCATTTACCTAACAGGCATTTCAAATCATGAGCCTCAATGTCAAAGGAATATGGATATTTTATTAAAGTTTGGTAAGGTTTTTTCCTTCAAGTAGGTAAATGTCAGAGAGTTTGATGTTTAGGCAGAGCGGGTGACATAATTTGTTTCTCATCACGTGACCATCACATGGTTGGATACACATGCATGTTCACCCTGCTGAA